GTAGGTAAGTCAGCTTTAGTTTGACTTATCAGAACAAACTGCATGTGGGACAAAAGTGATGGGAACTTGCTGGGAATGGAATCATGCCTTGTGTTTTTTGCAGCACACATGTTCTGAGCATGTACTTTAAGGAAACAGAGTGCCAAATTTAATTGTTCTGTCCCATGCAGTTTTAAAAGACCATCCTTTGAAAGAATTAAAAGATCCTAAACATGTAGAATTGTGATTGCCTGAAGCAGCACTGAGGAGAAAGGGTTGTCAGGCACAGCTCCTGCTGGCCAGGGCCACACCGGAGGACACACTGTGCCTGGGATGGTGTGTGCCTTAGCTCTGTGGCTGCAGTAACAGTGACTTGGTTTTTAAAGATGTCTATTATTACCAGTAAACACAACAATCATGTGAAATGGAGAGCTTTGAGATATTTTTAAAATTTCTGTTTCAGGAAGAGCAGATGTTCTGGGGATGGCATAATGACATTCATGTATTTGACACAAAGACACAAACTTGGTTTCAACCAGAAATTAAGGTAAGTGTTGTAAAAGTAGCCTTTATATTCATGTATTCACTGATACTTTAAAAAAATCGTTTCTTACTAAGTTATTTAAATTCTAATATATGATTTTATAATCATGCGCAAAATATTTCTTGAGTATTGTTATTAGTACCATTTTTTTATATCATGTTTTCCAGACTGGGCATGGTGACATGCGCCTGTAATCCCAGCACTTGGGAGGCTGAAAACAGGAGGATCACTATGACTCTGATCTGTGTAGTGAGACCCTGTAGACCCTGTACTAAATACATAAAAAAAAAATCATGTTTTTTTCTCCATGTCAGATAAGATTCTCTAGAAACAGTCTTTTAAAGAGCTATTTGGCAAATCATTCTTTGCCCCAGATGGCATGCCCTAATTTAATGTGAGGTCTTTTAAAAAATTATTCCATAAAACCAGGCACCCCCCAAAAAAAAACAAAAACAAAAAAAAAGGCTGGGGAGATAGCTCAGTAGAATAAGCACCTGCATGGCAAGCACAGGGTCCTGAGTTCAATCCTTGGTACTGAAAAAAAACAAAAACCGGTGTCTTACTTACTTTTTATTCGTTGCTAGGACAAATGCCAGACACTCAAAATGAAGGAAGGGAAGGTTTATTTAGCTCACAGTTACTGGAGGGTTCAGTCCATATTCTGCTGGCTCCAAGGCAAATGACAGCAGTTCATACATTGAAGAGCAGAGGAGGAGCCGCAGCTGGGGCGTCCATCAAGCCTCTCTCTTTCTTCTACAATGACTGCGAAGACTGGCGGGATCAGAGCTGCTCCAAAGTGGCGTGGCTGCGAAGGTCAAGCTCCTCTGAAGACTGGGACTTCTCTCAAAGTCCTGGGGCAGGGCGGCAGGAAGCCGGGCAGGTCGACCGGAAGCCTGTCTCAGTTCCTGGGCCCTGCCCACCTGCAGGGCAAGGCCCCCACACTGAGAACTGCCCAGCTGATTCAGCCAAGTTGACACAATGTAGCAACTAACACAATCCACCCCTTGCCAATTTGGCAACTAGACATAGACTTTTTAAAAGCCAATTTCCAGGTATATAGACATGCTTAAACATTTTACAACTTGAGCACTGTATAACATTAGAACCATGACATGTTGCCCCTGGCCCTCCAAAGATTCCTGCACATCCCTTTATGCAAAAGACATTTTAGTCCATCTCTAAGAATTGCCGAATTCCTTACAGTTTCAGCAATACCGAAAAGTCCAAGTCCCAAGCTTCCAAGATTTTAGGCAAACTCTTAGCTGTGAGCCCCTCCACAAATGAAAAGTTAAACTCTTCTAACATTCACAGGCACTAGATAAGCATTGCCATTCCAAAAGGTATACATAGCAGGATACAAACAGTTGGGACCAAAACA